TCCACTCAATAGATATAAATCTCTTATTAATAATTTTTAATGAAAAGAGTTTTTTTTTTTTTGTCTATAATTAATAGAATAATTCAAATAATGCTTGTTATAATTTGAATTTGGCATTCATTGACCAGTGTTACTATTGGTTGAAACTTATGAAATTTTTCTCTTAAAAGAGTTTTTCCAGGAAAATAGGTTTCTGAAGTCCAGCAGTTGTTAATGCTCTTTCCAGTAGTGATGAGGGTTTTTCCTTCCTAAATTTTTGTTTGTGTGGAATGTCAATGTCTTGATTATGTCATTACTTTCTCTTCAAGTTACATGATATCCATTTTAGTTGTTGTTGAAAGTCTTCAAGTGACATGGTTTCTGTTATTTGGTATAATTTAAAAAAAAAAAAAAAAAAAAAAAAAAAGGATTGTTTAGTGCCAGTTTATAAGATCTGATTAGATATTGTGTTCTTTAAGACCTACATGATTCATTTGTTTGAATCTATTTTTAATCACAGATTTGAGAAAATGGCTGAATGTAGCTGATGTCTAGACATTTTTAAATGTGTTGGACGCCATGCATGATATCCATAGTGTTCATTGGGATAAAATTAGCCTTTAGAAGCCTCAACTTCACATAAGACACAAGGTGATTCTCTTTTTTTTAGAAATATTTAAAGTGTATTTTATTTGCTATCAAATAAGGTACTTGTAAAATCGACACTACTAACTCTGATATAACAGCTGCAATCCCTATTCATGTGTGTCTCCTATCCTCTGCCAAGTGTTCCAAGAAATGGGACTCAAGATAAGCTTTTCCAAAACAGAAACTATGATCTAGAATTGGGATAAAAGCAGTGATGGCACCAACCCTGAAACCGTAATTGAAAATTCAGGATGTGGAAATAACAAACACTTTAAATACTTAGGTACATAAACAGATTTAGTAAAGGAGGAAAGGAAACGGAACAGGTTGTGCCAGAGTTAGTTTTGCCTATCACTGCAAATCCAAAACATCAACCTGAAGACTTGAGTCATGTTCTTAAATAACCTTGTCAGATTGAAACTTTCACATGGATGCCATGCATGGCACCAAACCTGTTCAGAAATATCTAAGCTGCCAGCTGTATACAACCATATTCTAAGATCAATGCTTAAGAAAAGGCTTTGAGTGAGTGAAGCCTAGAGGGTCTTTGCAAAGATCATTGTAGACTGTCACTACAGATTCACAAACAAAAAACTGTACCAAATCACAGTAACCACATCACTTTTTTTAGGCTACCAACAGAAGCAACAACTAAAATGGATAGCACATGCAACTCGAAGAGAAAATAATGACATAATAAAAGATGTTGACATTCCACACTACTTCATGTAAAAGGTTAGAAAAGACCCCCTTCCACATCAATACTGGAAAGAGTGATAATAGCTACTGGACTTGAGAAACCTATTTTCCTGAAAAATTGTTTTAAGAGAAAGATTTTATAGATTACAAGTGAAAGCAGAACTGGCTGCTCAGTCAATGAATTCCAAATGTTTCCTCGTAGAGAAATGGTCAATATTACTATTGCTATGAACTCATTTTCAATATTGCTTGCAGGATTAACGTTATTTTGCTCCAGTTTGTATTTTGAGAAGCAAATTATAGACTGAATTGATTCAATTAAGACTGATAGAATAAAATGTAAATTGCCTGAATGACAATCATTATTCATAGATTATAACAGAAATGTATTGGTTGATTTTCTACACAAAAATTGTCCCAACCAGCAGACAAGAAAAAACTGGAACTGTGTGGTGGTTGGCTTCTAATTTCTATGGAATAACATGTTGCTAGCAAAAACAGATTTGTTTAAGAAGTATTGTCTTCAAAGGCATGTTAAGTGAACTGTTGATGCCTAATTTAATTGGTGGTTTGCATTGTCAAGTCATTTATAGCAGAACCTTTTTTTTTTTTTTTTACTTCAGTCTGTCACCAATTGCTCTCTTTTACTTTTTTTCTAATTCATATTGAGGGAAGAGATGAATTCAGTTACGAGAATCCAGAAAGATGCAGCAAGAAAAATTGCAAGGCATAAAATGATGAGTATGACTATCGAAAGGTAGGATTTAATAATGTGCAAGTATTTCTATCTAAAAAATAGACAATTACTGTTTTCCAGCTTACAAAACACTGTAGCTTGGAAGCTGCACCCTAATATTGAAAGAAATTTCTAAGAAGAAAAATAAAGTCATTTTCATACAATACATTTACCTTGCGTCCCTCACATACTAGTGCCACATATTGTTTACATTAATCACTCGTCTGATTTTGTTTGTATGGCAATGACATATTAGTCAAGAGCAGAAAAGCTCCTACTGCTGCTAGTAAACAGAACATGATTAAGCTTGTGGCTTGGCTACAGGAAGGTTTAGTCTTGGAAATACTTGTAACAGCTAAGTAGTGACATTACATCATATAAAAGGCTGAATTAGATAGATAGCTAAGATTATATCGTAATTATTCAGCATACAAATCCACATCTCTATCAGTCAGTCAATTAGGTGACTGTCCAAACTTACTGAGCCTGGGTATTGCTTTACATTCGTCTTGGAAGACACATACATTTTTCAGGATATTTTTTAGGAAAAAAAAAGCGAGTCTTTTAAGCTGGAAAATACAGTAAATCCTTTTGACCTCCACCTAATATAAATTTATCTACATCAGCCTGTCCATATCTGCATTTCACTCTCCCTATTAAGATGAAGACAACAGTAATTTCATAGCAAAATTAACTTTGCAGAATGTGTGATACCATGGACACTCATGTAGAAAAATGTTTTTTTTTCTTAATCTAAAATGTTTCTGTTTCATAGCCAGCAAGTAACTCTTTTTGAAATCTAGTTTTCTAAGCAGCATCCACTTTAACTAAAAGGAAACAGGAAAAAAGGATGAGGGTTTTTTGGAGATCAAGTGGCAACAAAACCGGAAATAAGGTATATCTAGGTGCTGATCTTCTATATTGTCATGCTTGTGATCGGGGAGTGTTCTGATCCACCCTTGTCTGTCGTACACTTCCTGTGCCATCTATACATTGGGATGTGTTGATGGGCAAGTTGGAAGAGCTGACGTAGCAGAATTTGTCTCAAGTATCATCTGCCTACCTAACCACTCAGGCAAAGCTCTGAATAAAACATCAGGATTTGTGTTTTTATTTCTTGATGTGGCATTTGCCTTTCATTTTGTTACCTTGTGAATGTGTAACAAGTCCTTCCCTAGCTTTTGGTGGAAAGTGCATAGAAAGGCCGTGTAGTATGATTACACAAACACTACTAAATTCAACACTTTCTTTTTGTGTGTCCTAGAAATTTCAGCTGTCTCTTTCTGATTATCAATTAAATTAATAAATTATAAATATCAATTTTTTTGTAATTTTTATTCCCCAGCTCTCTCCAGGATCTTATCAGTCATTGGTAGAACCATATCAAGTCATTCCTTCATTTATGAAGAGTTTGAATATTACATAGTCCAGAACACTTTTCTATTTCTAACATTTTCCAATCTCTTAATACTCCACTTAGTTTCTGAAAAGCATCTTTTTGCTTTTCCTATAGAATTTTGAATTTCTGCTGTTTCTGATTGTTAGCAGTGATTTGCTCAGTCCTTAAATCTTACTTTGTTCGAATGCTCTGTCCATGGCATTCTCTGGCTTTGTCGATAGAATCACACTTGTTGCTTCAAGCCTTTTTTTCATCTGTGAAGAGATTGTCCTGCATTCACTACCATATAGGAGTTCAGCACTCAACTGTTTTCAAGGACATTTTTCCTATCTCTTAATATTTTGCTGTGTTTCTGGAAGGTAACTTTTGTTATTCCATACACTTTTAGATTTGTCACATTTATTATACAGGTCACATAGTTAAATTTCAGCCCTGGTTTGATTTTTGGTACCCCCAATATACAGCTCATGCTGTTTCTTTTGCTGACAACCAAGTATTTGCTAATCATTTCTTTATGAATCTGCCACCTTATGTCTACCAATAAATCCTTGTAGGTTTTCTGGCTCTCTTTGGATCATCTTGCTCTAGAGGTTAAATAACACATTTTTCTCTTTGGATTCTCTACCTGCATACAAGCTGTTTATTCCCAATCTCTGTAACATCGGTATAGGTCATTCTTTAGTATTACTTGCGCAGATAGCATTTCTTGAGTGTCTCAAATGAAGCTACATTGTTCTTGCTGCATCTCTTGTCTAATTCTGTTACAAGAAGATTACTTATCTACTTTCTTCTTGTCTCTTCCCTTCAAGGGACATCTTCTGAAATTGTCACCAGTGCTGCCCCTTTACGCTATTAAGAAAAAAAAAAAAAAAAAAAAAAAAAAAGAAACGAGTGAGATAGAGAGAGGTAGGGAGGAGAGAAAGGGACACAAAACCCCTAACCTTTTATAAAGATCTTTCAAGAATGAGATCGTTAAATTTTTTAAAGTGCTCATGCAAAAATCCTACCTTGAGAAAAATTCTTAAAAAAGAAAAAAAAAAAAAAGAAAAAAAAAAAAAAGAGAGGTAGGTAGGAGAGAAAGGACACAAACCCCTAACCTTTTATAAAGATCTTTTCAAGAATGAGATTAAATTTTTAAAGTGCTCATGCAAAAAATCCTACCTTGAGAAAAATTCTTAAAAAGAGAGAGTAGGGAGGAGGAGGAGAAAGGGACACAAAACCCTAACCTTTTATAAAGATCTTTCAAGAATGAGATCGTTAAAATTTTTTAAAGTGCTCATGCAAAAATCCTACCTTGAGAAAAATTCTTAAAAAAAAAAAAAAAAAAAAAAGAAAGAAAGAAAAGAAAGAAAAAGAATACTGGGCATATTTGAAATATGAAACCAATGAATTAAGAAAAAAAAAGAAACATTTTTATTTTTCTAACTTGAAATGTATGTGGTACAAGTAGCCCAAATAAATGAATAATTTAGGAGATAATGTAGAATTGGTTAAAAAAAAAAAAAAAAAATAATAAAATAAAAAAAAATAATTGAATTC